AAGTCCTAGCAGCGACTCTTTGAGATTCTCAGTAATGAATTCATGATGTTTTCAAATCCAGTCACAATTTTATCACATTAAATAAAAAGGAGCTCGGTAACAGGGGTGTCTGTGTGGAACATTCCCTGCGAGACCAGTAACCTAAAAATGCAGTAAGCTTAAAATGAAACGCAGAAGGGAAATCTTGACTGCTTTGGTGGAATGAGACCTTTGGCTGGTTCAGATGGACTGGTTTAATGTAAAGCAAATCCCCCGGCCCAGATGGTGCAAGGTAGAGCGACTCAGAGCTGTGAAAACCCGCTGGTGCTCTCGTGGTGATACTCCCCAGACAATGGCAGAGTTGGTGTCTGAGCACTGTGCTGCTCGCTCTTAAAATCCTGTCTGGGCTTTGCTTGATCCCAGTTATTTACAAGGGAGGGAGGGTGCCAGGTGTCGTTAACGGTTTTTTCTTTTTTTCCTGGAAATCTTGTCTCGCTGGGATTTGAGGACTGACCGCCTGGAGGTCACACACAAGGATTTGGTGGCGACTCTGGAGCGGCACCTCTGGTGAGGGTACCAGGCGTAAGGAAATCCAGCTTTGGCCTGCCGCACGTGCGTGCAAATCTTCCAGGGAGTATCTGCTGCTCTGTGCGCCGAGCAGATGCTCTGCTCGGGGAAGGTAGAACACAGCTGCTGTGCATGTGTCCCTCGCTGAAGTGCTGCCCCGGGCAGAGGGACGTGACCTGACAGCCGGAGGACGGCCAGCTCCTGTGCCGCCTCTGCCGAGCAGACTTGCTTAGCACGGCTGCAGTTCTCAGGCCTGGCTCCTGCCTGGATGTACTTGGTCGGGAGGAACTTAATCTCTTCCTTCTGTGGAACGACAGCAGAAAATCCTTCTTAATAATCTACCAGGAGGGTACTTGAAGAAAGTGCTTTGGATTCCAGAAGGTGGAATTCATGACGGAGGGGCCTGCGACACTGAAGTGGTTGGCCTTGTGCTTTTTGGGAGAGCACTTCCTGAATCATAGCATCGCTTTATAAAAACCCACCAGCCTGCCGGTGCTTGGTTTTCCTTATTCTTTCCTGCACGTTCACTGCTTTCTGTTCAGGATGAATCGATTTCAATGAGCATTTAAATTGGAAGGTGAACTATTTTGAAGGGGTCGAGTCTAGCTTTGTTTCTACGAGTGGAGAAGATTCCTTCACGTTGGTTTTTGTGTGAACCCTAAATTTGAAGCCAATACACCCCTTACTGGAAGTTCTGTGTGTATACAATTCTAGTTGGTGTAGGTTTAGCTTTAGTCTTAGATTACCTTGCTTTTATTCTGCCAGGAAATTCAGTGATATTTGTTGCTAGATGACAGAATTTTAATTTTGAATTTTCATGAGCTTATCTGGATGGAAGTTGAAGTCCAAATAAAAATTCACAAACCCAGCATCGTATGATCGCTCATTGCTCAAATCCAACTCCTTTTTGCAGGATACACGTGGCAGAAACGTTGTTAAAACATGTCCAATGGTGCTAAACAAGGGAAATCTTAACTTGTTGAAGGACTTGGTCAGGCTTTTGTAGGTGTGGAAGTGCTGGAGGGATCTTCAGAAGCATTTAAGCAGCTGCCTGCCAAATTCTAGTGAGCATCGTCTTATATTTGTACACCCTGTTGGATTAAGAGTGCGAGTACCTCAATTTCTCTAGAAATAGGGTATTATGTAGATTTTCTTTGCTTTTTTTCTTTTTACAAAAGGGGTATCTAAGAGAGAAAGGAAATACCCTGCTCTTGCAAAAAGCCAGAGTTGAGGTAGCTGGTTGAGGTTGCACTGGTAGCTAACGCCGGGCTGAAAGACATTAAACAAGGTAACTTCACTTTGGGTTTTCAGAAATGGCCGTGGGACTCTTCAGTTAACTGTGGGTGGCTGGAGCCTACGTTCTGCTTCACAGCAACCACCCCTCGGCCTCGAAGGTCAGAACTCGGTGTTGGTGGTGTTGCAGCGACGAGGAGCTGTGCTAAACCCCTAAAGGCCCTTTTTAACTTCCATCAAGTTCTAGCGTTGTATTTCACACCTATACTGGCTTTTTTATTATCTCTTTATGCTGCCAAACATAGCTTTTGGCTTCTAAACCGAAGCTGACTCCAAAAGAGAATTGATAGCCTGGGATTTTGTCTCTCTTGGTCAGAGCAGCCACTGACCGCAGCTCCTCCGGCAGCAGCAGCACCAGGCCAGGGAGGAAGGTACACAAGTCCGTGCTCCCGAAACTTTGTGGCGGGACACAGTGCCATGTGAGAGCCCTAAAATTCCTTTAAATGTGCCAGACCATCAGGTTGGGTCCCGTCATGCCAAGCGGATGGAGCGAGTCCCTGCAAACACAACCGGTGCTGGGAAATGGCAGTTTGAATCTGAGGGGAGGGGAATTATCCCCTTCCACAAAACAGTCATGGATTACTTTAAGGCTGGCTTCAGCTACAGGATAATGTGGAATGCTTGCCCAGCTCTGTGAGAATACAGTGTTAAATAAACATGAACTAATCCTCAGAAGAATGCGTGCTGTGCTGGCTCTGCCTCTCCTGCAGCAGCTGCTGGCGGGTCTGCTCCTAGGCCTCTGCCTTTTCTACTCATTAACAAAAATACGGCTCCATCACGGTGGTTTCATTTATCTCGGCTTTATTAATGCCCAGAGTATTGGCTGAGAGGAGAAGTTGCCTTACAGGAGCATCAAAACATCTCAGGAATAATCAGTGAGGAAGAGCACTGTTGTTGCAAACCTGATGTGTCGGGGCTCGGAGGCTCTCCATGGCCAAAGCCACGCTGGCTGTACATGCCCGCTCACCCTTCCCTCCTCTTTCTCCCCTGGGAAGCCTGTCTTGCGCTACCCGGGCTTTTGCCGAGCACTGCTGCCCTACAAACAACTGTTCTGCCCTCGCTTCGCGATCTTGTGGTGGGTCACCGCTCTGAAATAGCTGAGCCAAGGGTCCGGCAAGGGCGGGAGGCGTGGGAGGGTGGGCCTGGGGTCCGCACCGCCGTGCACTGGCTTCCTCGGCCACCGGCACTGTGGGTCGGATCAGCCACAGCAAGTGCAGGTCCCCGTCTTTCGGGGCCTGTGTGGCAAAGCTGAGGCCTGCCAGAAGGTCACCCGGGGCTGGTGGAGAGCGTGCTCGCTGCCGGGAGAGGGTACGGATTCAATGGCCAGCCTCGGGGGGCTTCAGCCAATTCTAGGAGTGTAAAGTTAGTTTGAAAAGCAGCAAGGAGTACTGGTTTTGTGGGTTTTCTAGGTGCTTAAGTTGTTTTGAAACAAGTATCTAGACTGACTGAAAGCTGTAGGCTGCTCGGTAAATACGCAGCCGCGGTCTTAGAACGGGCTGGGAAATAGCCATGACTCTTTTTAAGGATGACTTCAGAGAACAAGTAATCCGTAGCAATGTGTGGATGCCCTGGGATGCCCTCCTAGGGAAATACGTATGACCAGTCACTGGGAGGAAAGCTGTGCCTGGGAAAGATCCCTTGCTTGAGGAAACCCACCCCATTTCACCTTGCTCAAGAGCTGTGGGAGAGCTTCCTTGGACCTCTGCTCCCGCAAAGCGTTCTGCCA